AAAATTATTTATTAGTGTAAACAAACTAAGATTATTTAGTTATTTGTTACACAAGGAAATCAACTTTGCTTACTTTAATATTCAAATTTATTTGACAGTATTTATGCAAATTATTTTAAAAACTAAGACAGGCTGAATTAACAGTCAGTATTGTATTTATAAGTTGGCTAGTAAAATTTTATCATTATTTTGTATTCCCGTTTGGTAGTTTGGTGTGGATTTTCTTGTTGAATTGCGAATTTTGATTACTTCAAAAATTCATCGCTAATATATGTTTCGTCGTAGTATAAAGCCTGCTCAAATAACTTGTACTTTTTAAACTTGAAAATTTCTGTAAATTTTAAATTATAGTGATTGATAGAAAATTAGTTTGACCCTATGAACTTTGAACTTTTTTTCCGTATGTTAATTTTTATACTTCAAAAAATAATTTTCCTTTACAAAAACCCTTAGAAGTTTTATTTGAGACAAAAAAATTAAAAAAAATTAAAACAATTGGTAAATATTAATTCGAAGTAAAAATTAAGAAATAGCGGGAGTTCAAATTTGATTTTTTACATTAATAGTAATTTAATTATAATTGAAAAAGGCAATAATTTGATAGCATGAATAATTTTTAATTCATACAAAATTTGAACAATACAACCAAATTAAGAACTTATTTTGTCTAATAAGCAAAATTTGAATAAAGTATTTCTGATAAAAAAATGGAAAATAACAAAATATATATTTTAAAAAATTGCATTGTTACTTTGGAACTGTAAATACAGTATTAAAGTGCTTATTTTGTAGGCTCAAAATTAATAACTTATTGCTATAATTTTAAAATCTACCAATAAAACCTTACGAATAAGAACATAATAAAAGTAAAAATGATGCATAGTATCATTATCATAACTTATTATTACGAATATAACGCGCTCAGTCTTAATTCGCATTAATATACATTTATTTTGATACAATTTTTGAGTATATAAATAAAATATTGGCAGAATACAAAGTGTTGTAAAAATGCAAAAATTATTTAACATTACTGAATCGATTAATTTTTTTTTACTCAGTCTATGATCTAATAT